CGGGTGGACGCTGGACGTCCGTCACCAACCACGCAGGGGCCAGGCCATTCTCATGACAAGACTCAGGTCGACGCTGCACGTCCGTCACCAAGCACGCAGGGGCCAGGCCATTCTCATGACAAGACTCAGGGTTGACGCTGCACGTCCGTCACCAAGCACTCAGGAGCAGGGGCAAAGCCAAGGCAAGAGTCCAGTTCTCCCATCTCAAGGATGGCGATCACGCCAGGGGTCAGTGATGTCACGCTGTGGCTGAGATGTGAGCGTGAGACCGAGCAGTTATCGAGGGAAGGCGGTCCCCAACGGCCCATGCTCACCTCTCTTTCCTGCATTAACCTTTGGCCTTCTGCAGCATACAGACAGTTAGTCTCTTCCAAAAACTTCAGTTCGAAGGAGTCCTTATACACCTAAGAAAGGAAAGTTACCGACAGACGCGCTCCCCATCTGGCTCCCGCGCAGCAGAGGCTGTGTGACTGGGCCACACTGCCCGGCCGTGCTCGGCCCTCCCGCTGTAGAGCTCGGGTCCCCTTCTGCGGGCTGTCTACACCAGACTGTCTGCACCAACGTCGGCCTCTGTCTCTCATTTGCTGCCGGAGCTGTCTCTATGAGCAGACCCGCGTCCCGCGCGGTCCTGGGGCGGGCTGGGCGCTCACCTGCAGGTCGGAGAGCATGCCCAGCAGGCTCCGCAGCAGGCTGCGGTCCACCGCGTCGCCGTGCCGCTCCCGTGCGATGAGCAGGAGCAGCCCGTCGATGGTCCTGCTCTGCACCATCTTGTCACTGATGATGTGGTTTCTAAACAGCTCTAGTCCCATGTCCCTGCGTGGACCAAGACAAGCGACCTCCTCACTTCTGCGGTCCTGAATGAGGCCGCTCTGCACGGACCCCGAGGAAACGCGGCCCGCTGTCTCCCCACACGGGCACCAGCACCCCTGAAAACCGGCCTGTGTGGCCAGTGGGGGTTGCAAAGTGTCACAGGGGAGGTGCTGAGATGGCCCCTGCGAGGACACCCAGGTGACGTGCACAGCTCGGGGGCCGCAGCTGGGCTCGCACCACAGTGTCCTCGGGCCCTGCCCTCGAGGCTCTCAGTGCCTTGCTCCGGCTGGCCACTGTGGCTGGATATCTGGCCAGGCCTCCCCTTCAGACGACCAGCTCAGGCTCCAGGGCCAGGTCTGGGGAGGCCAGGTTATCCCAGCTCGGTGCCTTCCTCCCTACGAAGGGGGCGGATGGTCAGGCCGCATGGAGGCCCGAGGGGCTGGAGTTAGGGAGCAGAGCTCGCAGGATGGCTGCTGTCCAGTGGCGGCCGCTGGTCCCTCCTCAGTGCTTCCCCGGGGACGCGTCTTTCCGTACAGCGCCAGGCCGTGTGGCTGGTGTGTCCAGGGTGTGCTGGACTTGGGAGAGAAGGAAAACTGGGCCAGCAGGTGGCATGCTGCTTAAGGCGCTGGACTCCCACATGGCCAACCACGGTTCAAGTCCCAGACCTGAAGGCTTGAAAATCATGCCAGGTGTGTGCACATGCCCCAGATCCTGAGAGGACCATGGAGAACAGGCCGTGTGGCCACCCCAGGGTGATTTCTCACTTTCGCTTTCACCATCTACCTGCTTCTAACAAGCACATGTGTCCTGTGGCAAAAACCTTAACTAAAAAACCAAAAATTAAAAACAAAAAGGAAAAAAGGGAGGGAGGAGTGAGTCCAAAACCGCAGTGAGGTTGTCACGTGAAGTGCCTGCTGGGTGCGGGGGCTCAGGTCGCGGGCAGCTCACTCGAGTCACTCCAGTGTGGCCAGAGCAGAGGTCAGGCTGCCTGCCGGCGCACGTGGGGGGGCGTCGGAGCGCACGCCACTCCAAGGACCTGTGCTCAGAGAGGGTGCGACAGCTCTCCGCTCTCCAGGAGGGCGGGAGGGACTGCTACAGCACTGGGGGCAAGAGGGCCGGGACGCGCCAGCATGACACTGGGGCAGCCCCGGCACACAGGGAGGGCGCGCCCACGAGGAGGGCTCCAGGTGACCCTGGGTGGCGCAGGACAGCTCTCAACCTGTGAGTCCCTGAAAGTGACAAGATGCTGGGGGAACCACAGCCCCGTGTCCGAGGCCACTCCGAGCAGCTGGCAGTCCCTCTGAGTTCCAGCTGGGCGCTGTGGCCGGTGAGAGCCACTCTAGGCTCACTCTGAAGCTGCCGGAGGAGACCGAGGCCCTTGCCTCTCCTTGTGACCGGGTCCTGGGCGGGGGCCGTGCTGTGGCCCAGGCTGTTACAGGGACATGCTCAAGCAGCTGTCCTGGCGGTGAGGCTAATGTGGGCTGGGGAAGGGCCAGAACCCTCCTACCTGGGGCCCCGCCTGCCCAGCTCCCTCCCAGCCCTGGCTGCTGAGCGGGTGAGAGCACGTGAACCCCTGGGTGTGCAGGAGTCAGACAAGTGAGAAGAGGGGCATCTCTCCGTCTCTCCCACACACATGCCGCTGAGATAGCCAGTGTGGCCGTGGCTGGGACACTCACCAGAGAGAAGGCAGCATGGAGTTCTGCAGGACGTAGGTGCGGTCCAGGAACAGGAAGATGCTTCTGATCATGATCTGCAGGCCGGAGGCGGGACGTCAGCAGGCAGCCAGGACTGGGCTCTGGTCCGTGCTCCTGCCCTGGACGGACCCGCTGCTGCCCAGCAGACAGGGTGGCTGCCTCTGCCCCAGCTGTGCCTTGTCCCGGGGCTCAAGCACGTAGCCTAAGGGAGGCCTTCACATGGCCCTCTCCTGATGTTACCGAGCATGACACCAGATCGGGAGATGCCTGGGCGAGACACATTAGCTCTCAGGCCCCCAGGTGGCAGGAGGTTGTGGCACTGGCCTGGCCGACTGCAGTTCGAGTCCTGGACCGGTGGCTTGAAAATCACACCAGTCCATGTGTGTGCACGGCCCAAACACTGAGGGCGTGGAGAAGGGACTGCAGCATGGCCTCCCCTGGGGGGCGATCTCTCTGCCAAGTGCACGTGCTCTCTAGCACAAATAAAAACGTTTTCTGCAGCGATGCGGCACTGGGACAGGTGCAGGTCCTGACGCAATAGGGCAGGTGGTGTGAACAGGACGCGGGAAATCAGGTGCTTCCTGCTCCACCAGTATACCCACTCCTGCCGAGCCGGCCACTCTGGCGGTGGGGACGGGCTGATCCACATCGACAACACCTTCGTGTGAAGGTCTTCTATTTCTCGCATCTGCCAAGGCCCTGGCCCAGAGCAGATGGTTTCCTGCAGACCTCTTACAGAAAACAGCAGAGCCCAGCTGCCCAGGGGGGCCATCTGCTCATGCAGCACACAGCGGAGTCACCCCAGTGAGGCATCCAGCAAGCCCAAGACCTTGCCCGTCCAGCTGCAGGAGGCCTGGAACCCAGCTGGATGACTAGCCATCGGCCCTGTTTGGGAGCTCCTGGGTCCTGCTGCTCTCACTGACTCCGGCTTGCCAAGGCCCCACCTGGGAGGGCCGAGGCGTTTGCCCTCCTCACTGCCCACTCTGCTGCTGCTCAGCCACGCGGGGGGTGGAGGGCAGCGTGGGACCTGAGTAGAAGCATGGGGGACCTTGTGCCTCAGCTCTGGGTTGGTCTGCGTCCTCCATGGTGGGGGAGGCCGGGGTTCGATCAAAGACAGCTGAGTTAAAGAGGACACATGGTCTGGCTGCTCTGGCCGCCCTGAGGTCACCTGCCTGGTAGCCCAGAGGCCTGATGAGGACAGGCCACAGAGGGCTGCATGGTGGAGTGCTGCTGGGCCCCGGGAAAGGTCTCCTGGGGTAGCCGCCCGGGCTGGCAAGCTGGGTCCTGCTCACACCCTGCTGGGGTGCCTGCCGTCTGTCTCTCCCGCGTGGAAGAAATAAACAGGGACAAGTAATAGAAGTCCAGGGCGAGTGGGCTGTGAACCCGCGCCGTGACGAAGCGCACGCACTTACCATCTGTCTGCAGTGGTCTTGCCAGCACGTGTTAATCTTCTTTAAGAATAAGACACTATCTAGCGAGTCTGTGCAGACCTGCTAAGGAGAATGCCAACATCGACCACCAGTGAGACCTCAGCCCTCGCCAACGACCACACATGTCGCCCACAAACCAGAACCCAGGAAGGGAGCAGGCTGTGGCGGACACGTGTTCCTGGAGCTCATGTGCAGAAGGTGACGGACGGAGGGGGCCTTGGGAGGGAGGGGACTGTGAGGACGGAGCCCTGTGAAGGGTTAGAAAGGGCTCAGCACCAAAGGCCCCAGAGCTACCTAGCCCCCCGCACAGGACACCGTGAGCAGCACAGGCAGGGACCAGGTCGCGTGTGGGCCTCCCCACATGTGGACCCCGCAGCACCGGCTCGACTCCTGGCCTTGGGACTGAGAGAATTCCCGCCGTCTCCACGCTGCGCAGCCCACGGAGCTCCGAGAGCAGCCCATACCGGCTGCACCAACCCAAGGCCCTTAGGCTGCATCCTCACCCCTACGGAGGCTGCATGGCCGTGGTGGTCCCCACAGCCTGCCTCTCCTTATCCCGCCTTTGCTGCCAGCTCTCAGCCTTGCCTGTTGGGACTCACAGCCAGGCCAGAAGGCCATGGCTCTGGGGGGGCTGGCGGCTGGGAGGAGCAGTGAGGCTTGCAGGCGACCCTTGGCCCCCGGAGAGCTGAGACATCTTACTTACACAATGAGTCACAAACATTCCCAGCTGGACACCTAGGTGTTTTTAAGAGTGGGCCACAGTGCAGTCTGCGAGAAGCCCAGACCGTGGACTCCTAACATACCCGTGGCCCAGGCCTCGTGCCGCCCGGGCACCCACCACCTGGCCACGCCGCTCTGCCGGCACAGAGCTGCCTACCTCCGAAGCTGCACAGCTCCCCGCACGGCTCCCTCCCTGCAGGCGCAGCGGCAGTGCAGGTGGGCAGAGCTCCGTTCCCGGCCTAGGTCCTGGCCCGCACCCTGGCTCCCTGACGCCTGCCAGGACAGAAGCACAGCCTCCGGGCCCACGAGGACGGCCACGTCAGTCACGTGAGGCATGCACAGGGCAGGCAGGTGCCGCCGTCTTCAGTCGGCAGGGACTCTGGGAAGGGAGAGGAGCTTCGAGCCCGGCTGGGGCCTCTGTTGCTCCCCATGCCCCGTGGCCCTGGCCTCACTCTCCTGTGGGGCTTTCTTGCCCCCTAAGAGGCACTGCCAATGCAGCAAGGACGTGGAGACCTGGCCAGCTGCGTGGCGGTCGAGGCAGCTGGATGTGCTGACATGGACGGGATGGTTTGAGCCGCAGGTGCAAGTCGCGAGGTGACACGGAGCACAAGGACTGCCTCACTTCCCGTCACTCTGGCCCTGGAGCACTGACGTCACAAGTCAGAACCTCCTCTGCGCTCGGCTGCACGGGCCACGCACCTGCACCCATCACGGCACCACGCGGGGCTGCAGAGCCAACGGCTTCGACTCCGTGCTCACCAAGAACAGGTGTGTGTGTCCCCGGTGTGTCTCCACTGCAGTCTGCACCACTGTGAGGCTCAGCGGGTTGGAAAGCGAGGCCACACAGCCCCCTAAGCCCGGCAAGGTTACTGAGCCTGGCATTCCGACACCGCCACAGGTCAGGTGTTGCCGTGACAGAGGAGGGTGTGCCGGGTGTGGGCTCCCAGCAGGGTGGGACGGTGCAGCGTGGAGTGCTCATTAAGTGAGAAACTCCTGGAGCCGTCCCAGGTCAGCAGAGCGCCCCAGCACCTCTATGTCCCTCAGCGGAGCACGGGGTAGCCTGGCACCACGGTGAAGCGTCTGCTCAGCTCCCACCCTGCGGGTCCCAAACTCCAGGCCCCAGGGCTAGACTGCACCTGCCACTCCTACGTCATCTCAGGGCACGAGGCACAGGGCCCGAGTCCTCCAGCAGCCCTCCGAGGTGAGCCAGGCAGGCCTCAACCACAGCGACAGCAACACTGCACTTAACGTGGCATGGGGAGAGCCCTAGGCATCACAGCCACAATCTTTTTTTTGTTTTTTTTTTTTTTTAAGAGGTTTTTGCTATAGGGCACATGCGCTCGCCAGAGAGACAGAGACAGACAGAGAGACAGGAAGCGAGAAATCACCCCCCCCCCCCCGGGGAGGGATGGCCACACCGCAATCCCTTCTCCTCCATTCTCCTCTCGGGATCCTGGGCACACACGCGCACGCGCCCGGCGTGAGTTTAAGCCACGGAGTCCAGGACTCGAACCACGGTTGACTATGTGGGAGTCCAGCAACATAGCCATTACGCTAACTGCTGGTCCCAGCGTCAGCTGGATTTTGACAACGCTTCCTCCAGGCTGCACGCTAGATCTGGCCTTCACTTCTGTCCACCTCGTTCGACTCTGACGGGGTGCTTCTTACATGGTGCCCTGCCTTGCTAGTGCTTCAGATGAGGTCCCGCTCAGACCGGCGGCGATGGTACAAGCTTCTTCTGCACAACCAATTTTAACCCATGCAGCTTCTTCACAACACACACTTGCCATGAACGTTCTGAAGACTTCTTCCGCATGTTGGTCTTTTTACTGAAAAAATCCTCACGAGACCCTCAGAAGCTTGCAGACGTGTAGGTTAACCTGTAGTGCAGGCAGATGCAGATTCGACTTGCAGCTCACCACAGCCCAGATGCCACCATTCCTGGGCTCCGGGTCACCCGGACGGCTCGGCCCCGGCCCTGCACTCCGGGTCGCATGGACAGCTCAGCTCTGGCCCTGCACTCCAGGTCACCCGGACGGCTCAGCTCAGGCCCTGCACTCCGGGTTGCACGACGGCTCGGCCCCGGCTCTGCACTCCGGGTCGCATGGACAGCTCAGCTCTGGCCTTGAACTCCAGGTCACCCGGACGGCTCAGCTCCGACCCTGCACTCCAGGTCACATGAACCACTCGGCCTCGGGCCCTGCACTCCAGGTGGCACGGACCACTTGCTTCATGCCTCATGCCGTGGCTCCAGGTCCCACCCTAAATGCCACACAGAGCATGCCCGCCCCCCTCGCTCCTACCTGGCACCCGAGATGCCCCGTGACTAGCAAGGACACCAGCAAGGACTGTTTTCTCCTACTTTTATGAAGCGAGTGGCCATCTTGTAACTGTGTTCTCATCATAGAATCACGGAAGCACTGACTCCCTCGTACGGCCCAGGTCAGGCCGTGACCAGGAGGTGCGTCCCCGGTCCCACGTCGGGGCAGCACACAGGACACGCCTATGGTGAGCAAGCGATTGACAACACAGGCCGGTCCACAGGGGAGGGTAGTGGGCAGGGGTGCCCAGGGCCGCTTCAAGCACATGGGGGCAACAGCCGGACTAGGACAAAACAGCCCTGGTCATCCCCGAGGCGCTGGGTTCGCTGATGGCCACACCTGGGGGCCAGACGATGTGCAGGCACCGACCTCCGGGGCGTGTCCCTGGACTGGGCCCTCCAGCAGCCCCTACGCTGTGGTCTCGGGCAGGTGCAGCGTCTGTGATATGGGGTCCTTCGCGGGTGCCTCCCGAGATACGTGGGCCTCTGGCCAGGCTCCCAAAGGCCCTGCGTGCTCAGTGTTATCTGGGACAGCAGGCCGAGCAGGGCGGGGAGCACCTGCCAACACCCTCCAGACGGAGGTCGCTTCGTTGCATGGGGCTCGGCATCAGGACGGGGACTGCACCTCCCAGCAGGGCTCCTAGGACTGGCTTAGCCTCCCGAGGCGAGGGGATGGGAGGGCTGAGGTACGAGAGCACGTACAGACCAGTAGCCCCATCACCCAGTTCCACACACAACAAAATGGAGGCCCAGACAAACGGCCACCAGAGATTTCCAGCCATCACCAGCTCGGCTCTGATCCCTCCCCCAGAGCCATGCACAGGGTCCCTGCAGCTGCTGGGGAGCTCGACCATGCCGCCAGAGCCCAGCGTGGGGCGGAACTGCATGGGGCACACAGGGGGCGCTGCCCACCGTGGGCGCTCTGGCTGGCTGGCAGTGGACGTGAGGGCTGTTACTCCGAGGGCTCAGGCTACACAGGGCTGCCTTGGCGGCCCAGGGAGGCCGACTCTCTCACAGCCCAGAGTGGCTAACACTCGCGTAGACCGAGGGTCCGAGGCCGGCCTTGGTCCTCCGCCACAACCTCCCTCCCAAACTGGTGAGAGCCCAGCCTTGCTGTCACCGCGCCTAGCCGCCTGCCAGTCATAACTGAGAGGTGGGCAGGGTGGCGCCCAGCTGCCAGGCTGCAGAAAACCCCTCCCTGAGCTCATGGCCACTGTGGAGGGTGGGGCTGGGGGGACGTTGCCAGAACTTCCCCAAGTTCTCCTACCAGACTCAGCAAATGCGTTTTGAATTCTGATCAGCAATTTAAATGGTAAATGTTTCACGTAGAAGATCAGCAATTTAAATGGTAAATGTTTCACGAAGACAGCCCGTGTGTACGTGTGCGTGCGTGTGTGTGTGCGTGTGTGCAGGGTCATGGAACACGTTTGAGATTTTCATTCTATAAATGAAGGAGAATTTAAAAAGCAGTCATTTCAATACTAAGAATGAGCATCAGCCCTTTAGCCCACAAACGCTCGGTGTGAAGAGACTCAGGTAACGATCAGCAATGTCCCGGCCAGAAAAGGATATCCTCGGAACTGCAGGGTCTGGGCCTGGACGTGGTCCTCGCAGGCCTGGCGCAGCTGTCTGTAGAGAGTGGGCGAGGCTCTGTGAGAGCAGAGGTTTTCCACGGCCTAGGGGAGAGGACACGTTCGTTACCACACGCTGAGAGCACCACTCAGGTACACCAGCCGCGGCCCTTCCTGCGGGGTGCCGGAGCCTGGCGACCTAGAGGTGCCGTGACCAGGCGCCTGACCCATGCGCCTGGGGCCCAGGGCCCACCTCCCTCTGAGCCGGGCATGACAGGCACAGCCTTGCAGTGGCCACATCTGGGTGCTCCGACGCCTCCGCAGGTCACAGGAGCGTAGTGTCCCTGGGGATGACCACGGGACATCACGGCTCAGACCCCGGAGTGTCGTTCCCTTGGTGACCTCCTCCCTATCAGGAGGGGTGGGTCCAGTTCCTCCTCCCTCCAGGCTCATGGCCTCCGAGGTGCTGCCCTGCACAGTGGACGACTGACGAAGCAGCAGGCAACGTCCCGGGACAGAGGCCTTCTTCCAAAGCATTTCGATCCACATCATGGAAACAACGTTTTCCATTTTTTTTTTAAAAAAGAATTATTTTAACTTTACTTATTTAATTTGACCAGAGAAGAACAGAGCGAGAGAGAAGGGGCAGGGGTGGGTGAGAAAGCAAGCTGCGGGAACCAGCAGTTAGCGTAATGGCTATGTTGCTGGACTCCCATGCAGTCGACCGCGGTTCGCATCCCGGACCCGGTGGCTTAAAACTCACGCAGGGCGCGTGTGCGTGCGTGCCCAAGATCCCGAGAGGAGAATGGAGGAGAAGGGATAGCGGCGTGACCATCCCCCCTGGGGGGTGATTTCTCGCTTTCTGTCTCTCTGTCTCTGTCTGTCTGGCGAGCACATGGGCCCTATAGTGAAGAAACTTCTCCCCCCAAAAAAAATAAAAAGAAAAGAAAAAAAGAAAGCAAGCTGCCAAGTCTGGACCTCGAAACGAGGTTGGCCACGTGGGAGTCCAGTGTCCTTAACCACCAGGCCAGCTGCCGGTCCCCGAAGTTTGAAGTTCTCGTCAGCTCTGATAAAAGTCCCCTTCAAATCTCACGTACGAAGTGAGGCTCTCACTCGGTCTGAACGTGCAGTACTGCAGACACCTGCCGGTAGCCACTTACACGTATCTCATGTGCCGCACACGCATGAAGTAACCGCCGTGACCGTCGCCGTGTGAGACAGCGGCATGTCTGCGGAGCCCAGAACACGCCAGGCAACGGCGATCGCTCACACATGCCACGTGCCGGCCTTCCAAGCACACCACTGGCGTGACGAGGCTCCTCCCGCCCCACGGCCCGCTTCTCTCTCAAAGACGCGGAGCTCTGCTTCCACCAGTGCCGTGCGGTGACTCTGCGGCGCCCTCTCTGCCACGCCGGCACGCCACGGGGCACGCCACCCGCCTCCGGACCTTCCTGAGACCGACACGGGCCCTCCTGCCTCAGTCCACACGACTGTCCCCACGCGCCGCGTCCTGCACCCCGGTGGCCGGCAGGACCCGGGGCTGCTTCTGCTCCCACAGACCAACTCTGGAGACGGCGGTGTTTAAAGGAGCAGAAGTACCTTGTCCACACCCGGCGAGGGCGGTGTGGCTGTGTCAGCGTGCCGTGGCCACTGCCCGGCAAGAGCCGTCCGGAGAGCGGGAGGGGGCGCAGGCGGCGGGGGCCTGCGTGTGGGCGGGCCCGGGGGCACCA